TGGACACATGAACATCAAGGCTTTTGGAGATACTTTTGTAACCCTTTCCAGCTTCATGCAAGTCAACAATTCTTGATTGTAGGTCTTCTGAGAGCTCTTTTCTGCGAGGCATGGTTCACATCAGGCAGTACTTCTTGAAACCAGTAAACCCAAAACTGGTGTGTGTTTTTAAAGGGCAGGATAGCTTTCAGCAACACGTCCAATATAATCACACTGATTGGACTCAAGGTTGGCTCACTCCTGGTTCCAATTAGCTCTTGGAGAAGGCATTAGGCTAGGGGTTCACATACTTTTTCCACCTTGCACTGTGATTGTTTACATGTTATGTTCAATAAAAACATGACAACATATAATGTTTGTGTAGTATTATTTTAAGCAGACTTTGTTTTTCTATTGTTGTGACTTAGATGAAGATCAGAGCACATTTTATGACCAATTCATGCAAAACTCCACGTAATCCCAAAGGGTTCACATACTTTTTCTTGCAACTGTAATATAAACCTAGCCCCCCTTAGCTTTGCTAATATAATATAAAGCCCCCCTTTGTTAATATAATATAAAACGACAAAGCAGACTGAATGATTACACCCCCCCCCCGCCACACACACACACACACATATATACACTTGATAGAGAAACAAGTTCTCACCTCAAAGTGATGGTCGACAATTTGAAAGTACTCTGCCAGAGGGACAGGTCCCGCAAAGCTCTTCTTAAAATCTTTAACTCCATGTTTAGCAAAATAGTCGTTAATGCGCTGAACGAGTTCCTTGGTCACCAGCCACATATCTTCAAAGATGTCACTCTGGATTCTATAGCGCTCTTAAACAGGTAGGAAGAGCATGAGAATGAGAAAGAAAAAAAAAAGAATTTTAAGCAGAGATAAAAAAAAAAATGTCAGTTTGTCACACAGCAAAAGCAGAACAGCCTTTTAAAAAACAGTCAGTCCTGCTGCAACGTGTGATATCACATCACAAATATATTGTAACTCAATTGATATATTAGTTCCCAAGTCCAATATAACACGCAATCACTTTTGTACTTCCAGGATTTTCAGTCAGAGGGGAATGCACTACACAAAGTACAATGTAGCATGGTCTTAGTAAGAAACACTACTTGCATGCAAAAACAGATATCCAAGTGGACAATAGTGATCTCAGAGTTGTGAACAAATCATTCTTTTGAACCGGTTAGTGAATCAGTTGAATGGGTTTTCACATGTAAAAGAATCAACATTTTTGTCCATCTAGGGACTGCACATGTCAGGCTTAGATTCTAAAAATCTAAATAAATATTTGACAAATTATGTAAAAACACACAGCAACATTTTTAAAATCACTTACATTTGCTTTTTGTAGAGTGTGTGTATCCATGTTGCCTTCAGTGACCCTGTGCATACAGTGCATACTGTAATCTGTTGTGATTGTACAGTGTGCATGCCCCGCAGCATGATAGCTGTAGCTCACTACTCCTGACTCTCAGCAATCAACAAGTTAGCAAGTTCAATAAGTTCGGTTGAACTAAAATTTTATTTGAAATTACTAGGCAATTCTCATGAGACTCATAAAACCCATAGGAGATATTTATGATATAATGTCTGAATATATAATTACTTATCATTTAAAATGCAATAATTACATTACTAGCCACCCGTATCACTGTTCAAGATGTTCAAGATCAAGATTGCTTTATTTGTCACATGCACAGATGTACAGGTACAACATGCAGTGAAATTAATTTTATCCTGATCAACCTGACCATACATATACAAACATTACAGGGGGTAAACAGGTCAGGTAGACAGGGGATATAGGAAAAAACAGAGAAAACAGAATTACATGAGGAGAGAAGAGGCGAATAAAAAAACAGCCCCCAGACTGTACTCCAGTAGGAAGTATAATGTAGGAACAGAAAAAAACACTCAGCAACATAAGCACATAGTCACCACACCTTACAACATAAAAAGTCGTGACTTGCAACAGGGGAGGGAAATGGGGAGGTGGAGGTAGTCCAGCATAGACAAACATCCATCCGGTCCTGCTGCCAAACGGCGCTGGTCAACAGACCCGCCTGTTCATGCTGGGGGGTATGAAGCGGCGAAGGCTTGGGATGGGGGGAGGGTGTCCTTGGGATTGGGGGAGAGGAATGCAAGAGAGTCTCACTGCCTTGTTCTTCTAGGGGAGTTGTTGAATTCAGCAGCGGCCTTGGCCAAGGCCAAAGCTGATTAAGGGGGAGCCAAAACCAGATTGCATAGGGTTATTTGGGTTTTCGGGTGAGAAGCTGTAATTTCTCAGCTCCTCTAATGTCCACGCTGGTCTCCACCATCCAAAATCCTTTGCAGAGCCGTGAGCTTCTCTGTGATGTTATCAAATCTGCGGTCCATAGTCACAGTGATGGTATCCAAGTTGCTATCTATAGCCATAGTCTGAGTGCCGACAGCTCTGCCAACTCCATCAATCATCCCGGTCAGCCTAGTGGGGTTTTGAGCGGCTGTCACCGTTTTCTTCAATTTTCGATAAACCAGGGCAATGCCAATCAGCATCAGACCTGTAACCATGGTTCCGAATAGGTAAATGTCTTCGATGTCCTCCACGGACAGAGCTGCCAGACACACGAACCTCCACTTCTCCCATCCGTCCATCGTGTAGCCGGCTGCGTACATCCCTGCAGGACAGTCAGGTTCCCCCGAACCTGCGCTTCTCTGCGAGAAGATGGTGTCAATTGCGTTGAGAGACCAGTTGATCAAATTCATGATTTCCTTAGTTTCGAAGAGCAGGGCTGAGAGAGTCTCTCAAGTATAGACAATAAGACAATAGACTGGACGAGACGATAGGAGCAAAGCAGGGAAGATAAGGGAGAGTGAGAAAAGTGCGTCCGCCTCCGCTGAGAGCCAAGCAAGAATCTGTTTTCATTATTTAATTAATTTTGTTTGGCCTAAGTTGCTAAGTTTTGGAGTTACATTCCCCGAACATAATTTTTCCCATTGGATATGTGTATTTTAGTACATGATTTTAGTGAATGCGAGATTTTTTAGAAACACATTAGTCACACTGTAGCAGGACTAGCAGTACAGACAGAAAATGGATGGAATAATTTGTATAGGGTCATCATTGTATTCAAGAAATTGGTAGCATTGAGGGTTTGAACTTATCTGCCAGGGTTTTAATTTTTCTCCCAGAAAGTAGGTCAAAAATCAGGTTTATAAGTGTTTGGACAGTCATGCAATTTTCAGGGGCTCAAAAGTAATTTGACAATTGACTGACAAGCTGTTTTATGGCCAGGTGGGGGCTGTTCCATCATCATTTCATTAACGATTAAACGGGTAAAACATGTAAGGCCAATATTTATCAAACTCAGCAAAAAAAAAAATGTGAAATAAATATCTACGCATGAAAAGAAACAAATGTACGCATACACACAAAAAAAATAATATATCAAATCTGGCATGTGTAGGTTTGAGGGCCTCAGGATCGCATGTTTGCATTTTGCATATGATGTAGTCCTGTTGGTGTCATCAGGCTGTGATCGGCAGCATGCACTGGGTCAGTTTGTGGCTGAGTGTGAAGTGGCCAGGATAAAGATCAGCACCTCCAAGTATGAGGTCAATATTCTTGATTGAAAAAAGGTGGATTGCCCTCTCCTGGTGAGGGATCAGTTACTGCCTCAAACGGAGGAGTTTATCTCGGGGTCTCATTATCCAGCTTTTGTTTAATACTGGAGTCTACTGATTGTTTCACTGCTGAGCAAACTGTCATAAAACAGTCTAATAGAAGAAGACAGAAGACAAACATTAGATCTCCCATGTCTTTGATACTATCTTGCTACAGTGGTACACAGTTGTGAACAGTCATGGAGAGAAGACAATTAAACAAGTGTATGCAAAAATTCAAGAGTAACCTTAGTAATTGCAGTAATGGTTAAACTTCTTAAATTGATCCATGGGCAAAATACCACCTTCCGCCAACTGGCATATTTTACTGACAGCACTCCCAGGCTCACCCTGATTGTCCCAAAAATGCCATAAAAACCAGTTACTTTACATCATGTGGGGATATTTTTTCCAGTTCCCACAAGAGGAAACTCAGTTTTATAAAAAATCTATGAAAGCAATCAAAAAACTAAAAATGGCAAAACTGTTACATTTTGCTTGGTTACTTATGGTTAAGCCTAGGGCTGGGTAGGGGTTAAGGTTTTCATAATTGGAATTAGGGTTATGCCCATAAAAAAGAATGGAGAGTTCCCACAAAGATATGAATTCATGGACTGTGTGTGTGTGTTTGTGTGTGTCCAGGTATACCTTACCATGTGAGGACCAAATGTCCCCACAATGTGATGAATGCCCTTTTTTTTAATTTTTATTTTATTTTTTACCTATAGGAAACATACGGGAAAACTCTATTTAATAAAATCTAAAAAAAATTACCAAATTGTCCTCAAAGTGTTGTAAAACCTGAAATTTTCCTACTTTTGGGGACATCTTTTGAGGTCCCCATTTGGATAACCTCAAGTTTTATACACATCTGTGAATGCAATCAAAAAAGTAAAAAATCCCAAAAGTCTTGTATTTGGGTTGGTTACTTATGGTTAGGATTAGGGATGGATAAAGGTTAAGGGTGTTGTGATTGGGATTAGGGTTTTCCCCATATAAATGAATGGACGGTCCCCATTTAGATAGGTAGACCAACTTGTATGTGTGTGTGTGTGTGTGTGTGTGTGTGTGTGATATGTACTCACGAGATGACTTGGAAACCTGTACAGTGACTACAGATCCAGCAATGAGTTGGAAGGCGACAGCATTGCTCTCCTTATCTTCAGATGTCATCAGGAGATCTTCCTCAGGAAGGAATTCGTATTAAAATGTGAGAGAAGAGAAATAAGAGGTGAATAGGGGTGAGAATTAAACACAGGAATTTGCACCTAAAGACTGAAAACAGAAAACTGGAGTACACACATAAACATGGGCAGAGCATGCAGATTCCACACACACAAAGATGAAAGGAAGCACAAAGGGCTGGACATGTTAGGCCAGTGTGCTACCTAATTTACCACTGTACTGCCAAATACTCTAGATGTTATCAATGGAAATAATTTGCTTCACTCATGATGGACACATTTAATATTGCATTTAAGCATGTTTGTGGAACTCAGATGTGGAACTCTTCACAAAATTAAATCTACGGACCAGTTTATCAGCTATCATTCATAATTAAAATTCTTTGGGCCCTATTTTCCACTGGCACACCATGTATGCATATCTTCAAAAGAGCAAATGATTTTGCAAGCCGCTTTCCACTTGTAGGAGTGGTGTTTTTTTAAATGAGACGTGGCCAGGCACACTGTTGGCATGTTGCTATTTTAAGGCAGCGAAATGACATACAATACAATGGTATTTAACATTGCCATGTGTGATGGATGTCTGTTGGGCATAAATGAGGAAACATTAGAAGACTTTAGAAGGCATGATGCTGAACCGCATATACCGATGCCAACATGCTGGCAGCAGCATGGGCAAGGAGGAATCAGCTGGCAGAAGCGCTGAATCATCTGTAGCCTGGTAAGGAATCTAAATTGTGAGATGTAGAAAAATAACAGCGCTATTGCCTTTTATTTGAACACTTTAAAAACCTTAAAAACTGTAGGTTGTGTTTTGTTTGAACAAAGATTGCACTTTTATTTATATTTTGCTAACTGCAGACGCAAAATTTTAATTTAAAAACACACAAGCAATATTAAGTCCCCCTTCCTAGTGGCTGTTCTCATTTTCCTTATCTTCTGACATCATTATACTACTTTAGGCACTGCATGGATGGTGTTGTGATGCCAGAAAATGAGGACACACACTTGCTGCTACCACATCACACACCTGCTTCACCTCGAAAAGTTTAGTTGCTTTGATGCTCCCATCACTTACAAGCTCACGCCTTTTCACCTCGTGCACAACTACGACCATTTCCTTGGGGGAAAAGCAGTCTTGTTTACCAGGAAAAGTGCAATTATAATAGTAATCCACTGTAGATCATGCACCACTGCCTTTTAAATGTGAGGTGACGCGCCATTCCGATTGGTTCGTTGCAACTTGTCTGGGTTATTCAATTAGCCAAATTGCTCTAATGTTACCCTCCGCCCTGTCACTCTTCTTCTTTGGTATCAATTCAGGTTCATTAATTTAAGTGCCAATAATGGGACAGCACACATCTCCATCCAAGTGCTCCTCAAGGCCTATATCCCATCTGACCCTCTTCAGTCAGCAAATCAACACTTCCTTAAGATAACTCCACTATGAGAAAGGTCTCACTCTAAGTGCTTCTCATGTGAGGTTCCTTGATGGTGGAATGGACTACCAAACCACACCCAGTCATCAGATTTTCCTCTCAACTTTCAAGAAACACTTCAAGACCCATCTATTCAGGGAAGACCTCTACTAGTCCACACTACTCATGCTCCCTTGCTAATTTCTTATATTCCCTTAATGCTCTTAGCTCTAGTGTTGCACGTTGTCTTTTGATTGAATAGTCCTACTTACATTGGTTTCTGGGCATTTATTGGAAGCTCAATCTAGCTCTACTAACATAGCTAGTCGCAAACTGCATCCATATAAAGGACTATCTGCCTTACTTGTGCATCACTTTCGACAAATGGTCTGCTAAATATATATATAAATTCTTAAGAACATCAACATAAATATAGATATACCTGGGTAGAGTTCTGCAAGACTGACTGAAGATTTGTTGGTGTCAATGATGATTTTGTGTTTGGCGTGATTGGATGGAGTTGACGGCCAGCTAACAAGTCGAAATGGAAGGGTAAATTTACACTGGACCACACGAATCCATCCTGAAACAAAGAAAGAATCATGATATTGATCCCCAGAATTGCATATTACTCGTATAATGTTCATTTTCAAATACACAAGCAAATGAATACTTTAATTAAGATGGGCATATTCGAGATGGCAGATTAAGGACAAAATTTGCATTTCTGCAAATAGGCAGGCATATACCTGTGTATTGAAACACCAATAAAATGCTACAGCTTAACAATAACCCAGCAGTGGTTTTCATCCTTTGTTCGAGAAATAGTGACCAGCAATATCAATGCATTATTTTAATTAAAGCAGGACAATTTAAAGTAGTATACTTTAATATAGTTTCATATCCCTAAAACCCTTAAGGGACATTGCTATTTTTTTCTTTGCTATCCCTCAAACCTCAATATTTAAAAGAACAGGAAAACTAAATGCTAAATGGTGCTCCTCCACTCCATCCATTCATCCATCCATCCATCCATCATAATAGCAACCTTGTAGAGCTTATGCACAGTGCAGCTGATACCCTTAATGAGATACACATGGCTCCCTGATTCCTGGTTTAAACACACACTTTAATTCTAGACCAGCAATATACCCATTTCTGTCATTAAAGGTGCTAAGCTAACTACAGAACTAAAACATAATTGTTGTCTTCTGAATACATCATCAAACCCCCTTGATACAGACTAAAATGCAGCCTTGACTGACATGTTTTGTTTTTTGCAGCCATAGCTAATAGTTCCTTGTGTTGTTCAACCAGTTATCTGAGTTAGGGTCCCAGGGCCTCACTGTTATCCCAAGCAGCTTAAGGTAAATCGGATGACTGCTCATTGCATGGCACACACTCACATAATAATATACATCACAGCAATTAATAGACACAAATTAACCCAGCTGCATGAGTTTGGACTGCAGAAGGACACCTGCATGACCCTAGAAGAAAATGCAAACAGAGAATGGCCAGATTCAAACTCCCAACCATGAAGGCGTGAGACAACCCAAACTACACTCTGTACAGTGTTCATTTACCTCGAGTACTGCATTATACAAAGCAGCTATTAATAAAAAGATTATCTAAGCTCAAACACTTAAACCACATAAAGAACCATCTAGCTTGGGCAAAGGACACAGAAAGCTTCAGCTGGTGCGTTGATATGATCTACTTTATACCACTTGTCCCCGGTCATCATGTCACATAAATGCAACGCCCCCCCCCCGTGTTAGTTGGTGGCAGCAGCCAGCTTCCCTGACTGAAGCACGCCAAAGCCCCTGTCAAACCTGCACGAAACACCTCATAGCAGCCCTGCAGCTATCACATTTCCAGTAAATATGAGTGCTTATATTTAAAACATTTTTGATTTCTGCCTCCACTGCTACACTCACCACCAGGATTCAGCTCTTTTTCCACGAAGCAGTGTAATGAAAACATAACTGTTACGTATAAGGATCTTATCACAACGCAAACAAAATTATTAAATGATAATGTAAGACTGTCAAATGGTGAAGAAAGACTTGCCATCAAAAATCACAATCAACTTACCATACATGAATATACTGTATGTTCTTTTATGTAAAAAAGGGATTAGGGAAATAAAGGTCCATGTTTTTAAATTAAGCTTTTAACACTGTTAGATTTTATAATGTTAGAAACATTTATAAGAAACATATATATTCAATAAAGTTTAGTGTTTAGCAGGTTTTGTTGTTTATTATTCCAAAAGAAAACATTCTTTCTATTGCCAGCATCAAACACCCAGCTCTAATACTTACTATATAATGGATTAGGACATAAATCCTCTGATCTGGAAAGCTGTCCACATACACTGTCCGGGCAAAAAAACTGTCCCCATTTGAATTTAAATCAGCAAGTTCTTAAGAGCCAATGACTGGACCATTATTAAAGCTCAGCAACATTATACAGCATTAAAGTGAAGTCAGCTGAGCAGCTGAATCTCCTGAATGGCTAGGTTATCCCATCAATGGATTTTTTCTTTCCTAACGGCATGGGCTTATTCCAAAATTATAATGCCAAGAACCATCGGGCTCCAATTGTCAAAGAGTGAGGGAGCATAAGGAATCATTTTCACACACTAATTGGCCACCACAGAGTTTAACCCCATCGAAAGTCATTGAGATGTGCTGAAGAAGACTTTCCAGAGTGGTTCAACTCACCTATCATCGATACAAGATCTCAACGAGAAATTAATGCAAATCCCGATGAAAAAAATGTTGAGATGTTGCATAAGCGTGTGGAAACAAAGCATTGACGAATGTGCACCATAATCAAAGCTAAATAATGTCCAACTAAATATTAAAGTGTGCAACTTTTTTTTGGCCAGGCAGTGTAATTAACAACATAAACTAAGTACTGAATACTTGTCATTGAGTCTTATAAATTAACATACTCTCAAAATTAAATTGGTTTCAAATGAACCACACAAATGTTCAAATGAATCCACACACTAAGTTCTTGCCTAGAGCTACTTGCTATGATTTTTATTGGTTTTACTCCCCAGTATTGCATACTGTGTAAATGAAGACACATATCCTCTAGTACATGGCCCTTTCGCAATACCCTACTGCTACTTAAAAATCTTTCTGCATTGGCACTTTCATTTCAGAATCAATGGAACAAACATAAATTAAGATGATACATAAAAAGAGAAAGCAATAGTTGTGTGCCACAGAAAGTGCCTTAAACAGTGAAATTAGAAAGGAAAATGAACACTGGACGAAGCAACACATAGATTCTGAAGACTGTAATAAATATTTTTCCATGCTTATTTGATCTAAATGGTTGTACTCAATAATGGCAATATCTGTGCACCCTACCGGTGGGTGTACTGTAGGTCACCACCACATGTCCTCCTAAATCCGCTGGAGGGTAGGGTTCTTTGAGAAAGGCTGAGAACAGAACCATGCATGTGGAGCCGGGATCTGTAAAAAAAAAAAACAAAACAAACAAACCATGCAAAATTAATGCATATAGAGAACACTGTGAAGGAAAATGTCTAAAAAGACTCCATTTTTCATTCTAGCCTTCATGTATATATAGAACAGTTGCTTTAAAGAACTTCCATAGTCATCAATGGGCTAAACTTATTAATCACTTTCGTTAATTTTAACCATTTACAAAATTATTATTCTGCTTTTCATTTTGGATTCATTTGTTAACTAACCTGCTCTTATGCATTTTATTAGCATAATAAGGATCACCTTTAAATCACTGCTAAAAGTATCCAGTCCAGCAGGTCACAACTGCAGAGTCATCTGTAAGGACTGCAAGTCTCCAAGGAACAGATTCAGACGTGCGTAATTCTTTGATTCCTCTGCAAGCAGGACATGGGACACTAGACCACAGATGTGATGACACCTACTCATAGATTCGTCTAATAAACGCCTCCTTATCTGCCCTCAGACCCCTCACAGCTGTCCTTCTCTGTTCCCGGTACAGACTGGAGTTGCCACTTCTCTCAATAATATCCAGGGTGCCCTGTGAGATGAACACCCCCTTCTGGGAACACCAGCAACACCAACACAAGCCTCGGCAACCTTCAGGATCTTATCATGGAAGGTCTCCCACATCACATTAGATTTGGCATTCACACCCAAGTCTGCAAGTTCCTCACACAAACTGCATACAAACTCATCAGAAACAACTTCATCTTGGAGTCTGGCCAGGTCCAACCTCATTCTCATAGTAGATGATTGTCCACTGCATCTGAGCTGAATCTTTAGAATAGCAACAACAAGTCTGTGGTCAGAATTCATAAACTGAGCACTTCTGTAGACCCTACAGTTCTGCAGGAGCCCATGAGGATGTGATCTATCATCTTTGCCGCACCACCAGTATCGGAGTATCAAGTCTAACGATCCAGCCTAGGGTGTGGGAACCAGGACCCAGCGACCCACAGCCCCAGACCTTTCACAAAGTGAAGGAACATGGAGCCACTCTCAGCCCAGTCTCCAGACCCATGGGGACCAATAGCCAGCCCTGTCAGTGCCAGTGGTTGCACTGAAGTCACCCATGACCAGAGGAGTTTCACCTTGTGGGCACTCATCAAACACCAAGTGAAGTAAAATGTCTCCCTCAACGTGAAATCACTTACCGTGGTCAAAGAATACACTAACAGACAAGACACCCAAGGAGTGCCCTAGCTTGAGCCTCATAATACACTAGTTGACAGGAGTGACATGACATGGGGGCAGCGTGTGGCTCAGTGGGCTAAGCCTGTGTGCTTGTAATCACAAGGTCGCTGGTTCAAACCCAGCCTCAGCATGTCTGCGGGTCCTTGAGCAAGGCCATTAACCTCCAGCTCCCTAGGCACCCCACCAGGTGGCTGCCCTTCGCAGACAGCTTGTTCTACAAAGGGCAAAGTAAGGTTAAATTATTATCAAACATCATTGGGAGGAACTGATCCACCACAGGAGCAACAGGAGTATGGCAGCTATCAGAACAACCAGACCAAAAGTCGGTGTATCCACCTACAGAGATGTGGCCACTCCCCGGTCTGCATACCCCAGAGAGTGCTGCCACCGAAATGCAGAGCTTACAAAGCTCCCCCAACAGCAGAGGAAGATAGTTGTCTTGTCAGAGAGGCAAAACATTCCACATGCCTACCCAGATGGGCTTCCTCAAACCAGGACCCAAGTGCAGCCATGCAGCAGGTGACACTTCAGCACCACCCCAATCCCCAACAGGCCCTATTAGCTCTCCATTGGTTTCTACTCTTCTGGGGATGAGGCTCCCAAAGGCTTTCCCCCATCCCCTCCATGATGTGTGCAATCTTCTGGCTGCAGCAGAGCTACTCCCGCAGGGAGCAGACCTAGGTGCCGTGAAGTGTCTTACAGTGGTTGGAGTGCCAATCCCGCCACCAAACCCCAAAATTTTCAAATAAAAAGGTTTTGGAATTCAAGCCTTTGGCCTTTTGGCCAGTGGTTTTAACAGTTTGTTTCCAGTGATTTCTAAATTTGTGATTAATTTAGAGCTTTTTAAACATCTCTCCAAATGTGGAAAGCCATTGCTATTCTTCATTCCTATTAGAATGATATCAAATCAGAATCAAATCAAATCAGATTGAATCAAATCATTAGCTTGTGAATCAGAATCATATTGAATCGCAATGGCTGTGCCAACCATAGTGATATTCAGTGTTATTCAAAAGAACAAAGAAACGGTCTAAAACTGGTTTATAATTATCTATATAATTTGTCAACTTCAATAAGATAAATATACCAACTCAAGAAACAGTTATTATTACCTAATAAATAAACCTTACAAAGTAAAAAATATCTGTAAAAAAACAGGGATTTTCCAACAGTAAGGCACTGTTATTCAAAAATACAGTTGAATACTGTGAATGCAAACCTTTTTTGGAAAAAAAACTTTTAATCGCAAACTACTGTTTAATTCTATTCTATTCTATTTTTTAAGTCTAGTCACGTGTCCGATGCTGTTGCTTATGCTCACAACTCCTTAGAAGAGATTCCTGCAGGTCTAATCTGAGCAAGATCATCAAATCAAGCCTCATCTTTACACCTGGTGTACGTAAATGTTGAAGAACGAAGGAGGAAGAGTTTTAGAACGCAACAATTTTGAGGTTTGTCCCGACTATAAACTTATCGGCTGAAGCTGAACTGGTCGAGATAAACGGAATTCCCGCACGGTGTTTTCCTCCTTGCTTGAGGTAAATGCAATTTTATCATTTTCATTGTTACACTGTACTAGCCTTTATTATATTATTTGCTAATAACGATCTAATAAAATCGATTTTTCTGATTATTATGTACTGAATTAGCAATGTAGTAACTACGTTTGCATTGCCAGTCAAAGTAAGTTTTGTTTATTTTTAGCTCAAAGAAGGCTTGTGTTAAACTAGCATGGTTATTTTGCCATTGATATTTGCTGACTGCAGGAGAAAATGTTCATTTGCAATATTTGCAATAAAACCTGCAGCAATTCCTTTACGCATGTGAGGCACATGCGGATGCATAGTTTATTGCCTAATGCAACGTTTAAGTGTGGTTTTCCTCAGTGAACAAGAGTTTTTTCAAAGTTTTCAGCGTTCAAGTGCCATATGGTCATAAATTTGGAAAAAATAAGACTAAACTGGATAAAACAGATGATTTAACGTGTCACGTTGACTTTTGCAGCTCGAAGTGTGAGGATATCCAGGGTCTAATCTTACACCTGAAAAACCACATTACCGAAGGTAAGACTGTTACATGCCCATTCAGAAGGTGTAACCAAAAATTTACAGTCAAGTCTACATTCACATCACATGTCTCAAGAAAGCATATACACTGTTCTAATGACAGTTTACTTGACTCAGTTGCAAATCCTGCCAGTACTAGTGATGGTAATAATACAAGTTGTGATATGCAAACTGAGGATTTCTGTCCGGAAGAAATGGATGTGTGCCCAGAAAAGGAAGATGAAGGAGAATTTATAAGACATTTAGCCTTGTTTTATCTGAAACTTCAATCTAAATTGCTCCTTCCATCCTCTACTATTCAAACAATCATTGAACACTACCAGGAAATACATGAGATAAATCAGTCACACCTAATTTCCAAACTTGCAGATAAATTGACATTGCTTGGACTAACTAAAGCTGACATAAACACTGTGATTGATACCATGAAAAGTGAGGATCTCCACAGGGCTTGTAATACTCATGCACTTAAAACTGACCATAAGAGAAAAACTTTTTTCAAAAATAACTTCAATTATGTAGAGCCAGAATCCATTTGTCTTGGTAAAAATGAGTCGGGCAACGAATGTTTTGTGCAATATATACTTTTGTCCTCAGAGTCAGTGAGAGACCAGCTACAGCAAATACAAACTAGAGTCCAGCCTGATAATATTTTTCAGGATTTTAGGGATGGCACAAACATTAAACAGAACTTGCTACTCAAGCACACATCATCTTCAATCGGCATAATCCTTTATCAGGATGCCTTTGAAGTAGTAAACCCCCTAGGGTCAAGGAGGAAAAAGCACAAGATTTTAGCCATGTATCTGACACTTGCAAATATTTTGCCACACAACAGATTGAGTCTTGATCAGATGCAACTTGTGCTGTTATGTCGAGAACAAGACTATAAGCATTTTGGACAGAATCTAGTGTTTGGCTCTCTGGTGAAAGATTTAAAGGATTTTGAGACAAACGGAGTAACATTGCCAGATGGCCAGCTTTTCAAAGGAACCATTTATGCAATTTCAGGTGACAATTTGGGTTCACACAATATTGGGGGCTTCACAGAAAATTTTAGCAGAAGCTCACATTTTTGCAGGTATTGTGAGATTAATCTGGAAGCATTTCTGGCAGACCCTCTGGCCAAGGGCCCTGACCGCACACCAGAGTCATTTCAGAAACATGTTGAGGCTCTGAGTTGTAATGTAGAATCACGTGACTGTGGTGGTGTTAAATTTGACTCCATCTTCAATGAGCTCACATATTTTCATGTATGTCAGCCCGGATTAACTCCTTGCCTTGGTCATGACCTTTTTGAGGGCATTGTCTCAACTGATTTGGTGTTACACCTAAACCACCTTGTGTCAAAAGAGAAAAACTTCACTTATTTTCAATTGAATCAGCGCATAAATCATTTTAAATATCTAGGCAATGATGCTAACAACAAACCTTCTGAGGTTAATCCTGGGGCTGGAAAACTCTCCGGACATGCAGTTCAAAATTGGTGTTTCCTGCGGATGTTGCCAGTATTAACTGGTGATAAAATAAAATGTCCTGAAGATAGTGTGGCATGGCAACTTATCTTACAGCTAAGAGAAATTGTAGAGCTTGTTTGTGCACCTGCAATTTCCACAGGTCAGGTAGCCTATTTACGAGTTCTTATAGATGAATATTTGCATACCAGAACACAGAGTTTTGGGGAACATCCACTTAAGCCTAAGCATCACTACCTAAGTCATT